TTCAGCTATTCACTGGTGGATTAGTGATAAGAAAGTCCCATGCCAATGCAAAGGTACATGGTTCAAATCCACCATCTGTTCTATGGGCCAGTGAACTTCATTGTGACTTACTGCCTTTGAAAATGCACTGGAGGGTCAGCTGTGAGTCATTTCCCATTGATGGTACACATCAACAACAATTGCTGATGTTTTAGTTAACTGCTGGGTGTTTTTAATGGTTAGAAAAATTTGTGTTTAGAATTAGCCATCTGGACTCAGTTTAGATGATCCCAATTTTGTTGGCAACATCCAAAGCATCATAGTCAGGAGCAAGTCGAACATAGGCCTTCTCTCCATCAGGCCTAATCAAAGTGTTGACCTTAACCATATCAGTGTCATAGAGCTTCTTTACATCTTGTTTGATTTGGTGCTTGTTGGCCTTGACATCCACAGTGAACACAAGTGTGTTGTTATCTTATATCTTCTTCATAGCTGACTCAGTGGTCAGGGGAAATTTGATGATGGCATAGTGGTAAAGCTTGTTTCTCCTGGGGGCACTCTCCTGGGGGTATTTGGGCTGCCTTCGGAGTCTCAGCGACACTTTTATATACCATTAGTTGTCTTTCAAATCTTTACTTGTTACTCAAAATGACAGAAATTTAACCAATAGAGGAATAATGACTATCTACACATAGTCCCTTTATCACACATAGTGGTCATAGCCTAAAAAGCAAGAGTCATTCACCTCTGCTCCCTCTCCTGCCCATCTTCTCTCAATGAATACAGAAACACCACAGTGTACTTTACCCCCTCTTCTCTGAAATTTTATAGAGTCCAGTTGGCATCCCACTATCACTGCTCGGGCTGGGGCTCTGCTTCCCTTTCTCTTTTTAGTCTCCTTTTGTCTTGATTTTGGCTTCCTGCTACATGCATGGGGGAAGCGGAGGAGGAAGAAGGTCTGGGGGTCATGCCTGAGTCCCGCCTCTGAGGAAGCAGGCAGGGGAGGGTGGGCCACCAGATTCCACTATTGCAGAACCTTCATGGTTCAGACCTTTGGTTCAGACAGCTGCAGAGAATTGGGTTAATCTGCTTGGCTGGGGTGGGGTCACACATCTAACTGGTCCGGCCACTGACATTCTCTGCCCTCAGTGCTCAAGCATTTAGTAGGAGTTAACTTCCTCTCTCATTTCTGTGGGGGAAAAAATCCTCCCTCCTGAGGCATAGATTCATAACATTAGGTGCCATTGAGACGACTTTGACCCACAGCGATCTGATGAACAACAGATCTGAACCTTGCACTATCCTCTGTTGTCTTAGTTATGCTCAAGCCCATTGTTACAGTCACTGTGACAATGCATCTTGTTGAAGGCCTTCCTCTTTTGCTGACACTCTACCTTTTCAAGTATGATGTCTTTTTCAAGGGCTCGTATCTCCTGACAACAAAACCAAAGTATACTGAAGTCTATGAGAGCTGGAACCAGATAGGATGGCCTTGTATTTTCAAGTCTCAAAATTTTGCTGCCTTTTGGCCCTTTTATTGCTCATCTTAACGGACAATATTTGCGTTTTCCTTCTCTGACAGGTTTCCCCCTTTCACAGGCTCTAGCTTTCACAGATTTTCCTGTATGTTCTCGTCAATCCTCTAACGCTGGGTGGTTTAGTAGTGTGAGGACTTTTTTTTACCCACTTAGCCTCTTCTGTGCAGCGTGTCACCTCTGTCTCACCGTCTCTTCTAGAGCCATACTTTTTGAGAGCCTGTCGATGTCACGCCTGCCCCTCACCTTGTGAAGTTGGGTGCAGGTAAAGAGGAATACTTGGATGATATGAATGGTCAAGGGCTCGGCTGATAACAAACACTGGAGTTCACATCCACCCAGAGGCACCCCAGAAGACAAGCCTGACAACCTACTGATGACAAGTGCTAGCCGGTCCGCTGGAGCTGGTGTGAATTCCACGCTGCATCTGTGGTGCTACTCTGCATACGGGGCTGCCATGAGTCTGAATCAACTAACTAGCTGGCATTGAGTTTGAAGGTTCTTTCCCCCTTGTCTTGAGGGGAAGGAGAGTTTTGCTCTATGGAGAATTAAATTGTGTGCTGTCTCCACCCAGATTTAGAATAGAAACACTGATCAAATCTTAGACCAGGTGTCACAGAGTCAAAGCCAGAATGAGATCGTTGCCGGCATATTGAAGATGATTCCGACGGCATTAGAGGTTGCTTCTTTTTTTCCCTTTTTTAAATTTCATTAAATTTTATTAGTTTTAATGAACATTTACAGAGATTTTGGGTTTTTATTCATTCATTGTTGCACTGTTTTCTCCACCCTCATCCCCAGTTCGTTCTTCCTCCCCCTCCCCCATGTCTGTTTTACTTGTCCAATTGCCACAGTGCTTGTCAAAGCCAGTTCTGATTAATCTCCTTTGTCAGTGTGTCCCTTGCCATTCCCTATCACTCCTCCCTGAGAGAGACTTCACCCTGATTCATAAGGAAAAGGGGATGGCGTATTCTCTTAGCTACTTCCTGCTGAAAAGGGACGCTGTGGGTTTCAGGGTGAATGTCTTCTCTCACTACTCTAAAGGGCCCCCTTGGCAGTAGGAAACACAGACTATTATGGAGATTGATTTTGGAATTTAGATGCACTGTTATCAATTGTGCTTAGCCGTACATGTTCATATCCTTGAAGATGTATCATGGAAGTGTTGCAGCCTAGAAGATACACATTTAACTAACAAGTTAAAAGTGCATGAGTCAAAAATTGAGAAGCAATAATATTCTGAGTAGAGGTTCTAATAGTGGCACATATCAAGTTACAGAGGTAAGGTGGTTCCATTGCCATCCTTACTCTAACTTAATTCTTTTTTTTAAATTTAAATTTGTTATTAATTTCAGTGAAAATTTACAGAGGCTTTGGATTTCTATTCATTCATTGTTGTAGATTTGTCCCCTCCCAAGGCTCCCCCCCACCAGACATTACCCTCTTGGAAAAGTAAAAGAAAAGATTCTTTCATTATTTTACAAACCCTCCCCCAGGTCCACTCCACCATGTAGCCATCACTCTAGACTCCTGTCATGACAGAAATACCTAATCACATATCTCTTTTAAACAGTTTTCTCCCTTCTCTGTTTCAGAGCAGCATACATTATTGAATCCATCTTAGTCTCTCCCCAACCCCAAGGACAGTCCCATTCTACAACAGTGGCACCATGCAATATTTGTCCCTTTGTGACTGGGACATTTCACTCAGCATAATGTTTTCCAGAGTCAACCATTTTGAGTAATATTGCATGAGTTCCTTGTTTTTTAATGCAGCATAGTATTCCATTGTGCGAATATACCACAGCTTCTCTAGCCATTCGTTTGTTGATGGGCACTTAGGTTGTTTCCAACTCCTTGCTATTGTGAACAAAGCTGCAATAAACATGGGTGTGCATATATCTGCTTAGGTGTCAGTTATGGTCTCTTCTGGGTATATTCCCAGTAGTGGAATTGCTGGGTCAAATGGTATCTCTATTTGCAACTTTTTGAGAAAGCGCCATACTGCTTTCCACAGGGGTTGCACCATTTTACACTCCCACCAACAGTGAATAAGGGTTCCAGTTTCTCCACTACCTCGCCAGCATTTATTGCTTGCTGTTCTGTTAAATCAGCTTGGGCCCTGCTGCCTGTCATCAGGAGCTGCCCCACGTGTCCCAGGCTCCGCTGCGGGAAAGACGCTCCCTGGATTTGCCTCATAGAAACTTTGGGGAGTTGGAGGTGACACAGGCCCTCCAGTGACTGCAGTCAGGTGTGCTGGCAGAGGAAATGCCCTCTCCCTACTAAGCAAAGGTCTTCCTTGCACCATCCTGAAACACATTCAGAGGCATATTAAAACACTGAAGAGAAAAAACAAAACCAAAACAAACATAGAAGTAATGTTGAATGCTGGTAAGCAGATTTGAAACTAGCAGTGAGCTTGCATAAGACAGACTAAAGTGGAGTGGCTGGTAGGTTTGAACCACAGAACTTAAGGTCCAAGTGATTTTAAATATGACACACCAGGGCTCCTACAACAGTCTACAAGGCTCCAAGGAGGGGAGGCAAGGGAGGCTTAATCATAGGGTCACACAACTTGAGGGGTGGAAGGGGGGGGTTGGGTAAACCAAAGGGAAAGATCCTGTGTGAAGAACATACATGAATTTTATGCACTTCTTACATAAACCAGTATAAAATAAAATTTTAAAAAGTGATGTTGTTGTGTGCCATCGAGTCAGAGCTGACTCATAGCTGACCCTCCAGGGGGTTTCAGAATCTAAATCCAACAGATGTCCATCTTCTTCCTGCAGAACAGCTAGTGGATTCGAACCATTGCGTTTGGGTTGGCAGCACAACTCCTTACCCACTCGGCCACCAGAGCTCCCTATAGAAGTAATAATGAAAATGTAGCATAGTAAAGATTCAAACCAGTTAGCATTGATTACAATTCTTGACAACTTCCACTTGTCAGGCGTAGACATATGTATGCCCCAAAGGTTTTCAGGGACTGATTTTTCAGACGTGATGGCTGCCAAGTCTTTATTCCAAGGGACTCCTGGGTGAATTCAAACCTCCCTCCTATCAGCTAGCTGCCTAGTGCTCAAATATTTGCACTGCTTGGGGATTCCTAGTAAAGTTTAGTTAAGAAATATTTTTTAATTATTACTAATACTTAAAAATAACATTTTTATTTTCTCATCATTCCCGAAACAAACATAAGTAGCTAAAGTAAGCAAAATAATTGTGCCAAAAAAAAAAAAATCAGCCATACTTGGGACTTCTTTCCCCATACTAGAAAAGCTGCCTTTGCTCACTGCATAGTATTTGTGTCCTTGTAGAGTCATTCTTGACTTACTTGTACTTTCTGATACAAGTAAATGGGCTTTAAATAGACAGCATGTGCCCAGTTTGTCTCACGTCACCATTTTCCTCAGCTGTGGCGCATTTTTACTAGTGTCCGTTCTGCCAGCTGCTGAGTGGGGCTTTCTCATGAGCTTGTTGCCGATGTCAGCTGATCCCATGGGGGTCCAAAGCGGAGGGACTCTCAGATGGCAGTGGCTGTTGAGGGTTTAAGCTTCTGATTGCTGGTTCTTCTGAGCTTGGAGCCTGAGAGGAAGCAGGGGGCGCTCTGTGGTGCAATGAGTGCCTCCGCACGCAAAGGAGGAGGTTGAAGAAGCGGTTCAATGGACATGCACGGTGGTGCTGGGGGTTCCTGTGGACAGAGCACAACAGGAGCCAAGCATCACTGAAATCTACTGCATACACTTACCTGCCCAAAACCATTGCCCCCAACTGAGAACTCAGTGGTTCTTCCCGAAGGGGGCCACCGTGAGATGTCTGGGAGAAGAAGCAGTGCTCTGTCATGAACTAGACTTCTGAGATGGGCTACCACTCAGTTTGCTACTGTGGTGCCTTATGTGATGCTAGGATGTTGGAAGCTGTGTCACTGATCATTTCAAATAGCAACAGAGTCAACCATAGTGGATCAACCATAATGGATCTGTTTCAGCAAGAGCTTCCAGGGACAGGCTAGGAAGCAGAGCCAGTGGTCTAAATCTGAAAATTCTCACTAGCTTATTGCCTTCAAGTCAACTGACTTATGGCTGACCCTCCAGTGAGGTTTCAGAGGTAGATAATCACACTGGAGAAGATTGTCTATCTCTCTTCTGTGGAGCAAGCAGCTGGTGGAATCAAACCGTGTATCTTTGGTATCGCAGCACAACTTTCTACTACTAGAGATCCCTATACTGGATAGAATGTTCTATGTATGTCTATTATTATGTTCACTTAGCTTCTGTTTTTATTTAAGGTCCCAATCCTCTTAGATAACTTTTAAAATGTTCTCCCTGTAATTGAAAATGAATTATTGAATTCTACTTTTATTGTGAAGTTGTCTATTTCTCTTTTCATGTTATTCAGTGTTTGTTTTATGTATTTTGGAGCATTGCTGTTAGATGCTTAGCTGTTTACAATTATTTTGTGTTCTTTATTGGATAGGCCCTTTTGTTTTATGCAGTATCCTTCATATAACAGATTTTTAAAGTATTTTTTGTTGTTGTTATCAATATGGCTACTCCTGCTTTTTGTTTGTTTCTTGATTTGCTGGTTACATTGACTATTTTTCTGCATCCTTTTATTTTTAATCTATTTGTGTCTTTCTGTATAAGCTGTATTTCTTGTAGATAGCAAAATGATAGAGCATGGCTTTTTGTATATTCTGCTACTGTCTGCCTTTTGCAAGGGTTTTAAAACCATCTGTGGACCTGGAGAAAGGATAAAAGTCACATAAGTGTTGAGGACTTTCATTCATAGGGTTGCTAGGAGTCACCTACAACTCGATGGCACTTAACAATAATAACATCAACACAGAGAGGGATCTGTTGGCCTAGTGGACCGAAAGTCATGCTACCAAGCCAAAGGTGGGTGACTTTTATTTTTTTATTTGTCTTTTTAAAAACTTTTATTAATTTTCATAAACATTTACAGAGATTTTGGATTTCCATTTATTCATTGTTGCACTTTTCTCCCTGCCCAGCCCTCCCTCTCAGTTCACTCCTCCCCTTGAAAAGTAAAAGAAAAATTCTTTCATTGGTATAGAATCCTCCCTCACCTCCCACCCCCGCCCCCACCGCCCCGAGTACTTTTAATCTGCGGCCCTCAGGCCTGTTTTTCATTGGTTTTGTTCAAACATTCTTCTAAGTTGTATAGCCCTGGTTTGTCCACTTGCCATACAGAGGTAACTTGTGGTCGCTGTGAAGCTGAACACTGTGACACTGATGTGTCAAATGTGTTAATGGTTACCCATGGTGGACAGTGTTTGTTGAAGCTCTCCAATTAAAACAAGCTTGGAAGCAGGAGTGGCATCCACTTCCATAATAGCTTGCCTCTGGAAACCCTATGAACCTGGAGAGAGGATGAAAGTCACACAAGTGTTGAGGACTTTCTTTCATAGGGTCGCTATGAGTTGCCTATGACTCGTTGGCACTTAACAACAACAACACATTTAAAGTTATTACTGAAAGCAAATTGTCCAGCTCACTCATTTTGCTATTTTTTTAGTGTTTCAGATCTTTGTGGTTTTTTTTTTTTTAATCTGTTTTTCTGTTTGTGGGGTTTCTATTTTTTTTTTTTTTTTGGCTACTTTCTTGTGGTGAGTCTTTTTGCTTGCTTCATTCTTCTGAGTACTTTTTCCCTTAGTGATTAACTACTGGTTACCACATACGTTACATTACACAACTTACAATTGCAATAGTGTTCAACTGACAACAAACCGTTAACATACAACCTTAGCATATTCCGGCTGCTCCTGATATGTTTACTTCTCCTTCCCTGATTCCTGTTCATGTGTCTCCTCCATTAACATCAATATACAACCTATATTCAGTCAGCTTACTTTGTACTTATTTTTTACAAACGTGATGCACTATTTGCAAGATATTCCCTGAAAATATATATGTAAGTCTTCTTTTAGCAGCCCTACAAAATACGTACTATGCCATGGGGACTCCTGCCTACTTGCTCCTTAATGATTGCCCATGCTCCTCTTTTTCTTTTTAAAATTTTGTGTTGTCAGATGTTTCCCTTCAGTGTTTTATAATACGTTGCTTCATTTTCTCTGGCCTTTAGACTATTTTCCGAGGAGAAATCTCCACTAAGTCTTATGAAAGATCTTTGGTATGTTACATTGCACTTTTATCTTGCTGTTTTCAGAATATTCTTGTCTCAATTTAAAAACAACTCATTTTTTAAATTTTATTTTATTATTTTTTTGTGTGTGTACTGTCAAATCAGATCTGACTGGTACAGGAGGAGATTGTCCCTCCTTACCCGGCAGAGCATCTGGTGTATTCGAACCGTTCGCCTCTGGGATTGTAGTTGCAGCTCCTTGCCACTAGGTAAAAACAACTCTTAGGATGTAGTACAGAGTTGACCTCTTCTAATTGAAGTTGCTATGACTTCTTGAACTTGCAGCACTGGTCTTCTCTTTCAGGTCTGGCAAATTCTCTATTATTAGCTCTCCTGAAATGGTGCTTATACGTTTATTGTGATGGTGTCCAGGGAGTCCACTGATGTTAATGTTGTATTTCTTAACAGAATCATATCTTTCCATATGGATTTGTTCTGTTTTCTTCTTTTCATTTGCTTCTTTTACTTATTTTGTCTTCTAGTTCATTTTCCTCCTATCTTTTCAACTTCTGATTAACTTCTGTTTTCTGACACTATTGTTGAGTGTTTCCTTTATTTACAAAATTCAATTTCTGCATTGTTTTTCAGGTCTTTCTCTTCTTTATGTTTCCAGTTTTGCTGTTGAGTATCTTGTTTTGCTTCTTCATGCATTTCATGATCTCCACTGTTTTGATGTCTGTGTCTTTTCACTTTCTTTAAATGTTCTCAGTTACCCAGTGCTGCTTTTGCAGAAGTACCACAAGTGGGTGTCCTTAACAAACAGACGTTTATTTTCTCACAGTTTAGGCAGCTCTGCATCTATGTTTGGAACAATGGCTCTAGGAGAAAGCCTTTTATCACTTGTGGGAGAAGATCCTTGTCCGCTTTCAACACCTGTGGACTGATACTCCTTGAAGATTACCGTATCAGCCTTCCCTGGGTCTTGTAAGTTCTCAGTAACCCAGTCCAAATTATATACTTGCTCCTGGATCATCTTTTTTGTTGATGGACAAGTCCCTCCTTCTCTGCTCACTTCTATCTCCTTTTATTTCTTGTAAGGTAAAAAGTGATACAGCCCACACAACTGCCAAACCACTGAGAATTATGAGCCAATCAGACTGATACTTTTTTGGGAACAACAATTCAATCCGTGATAAAACCATAGAGTGAAAATGTGAATTCATTGCTCCCTAGGCTAGTGGTTGGGCAGTAAATGGAGGCCTCTACACCCCTTGCCGTCTTGTTTCATCCTGCACGAAAGAAATTTCCGTGGCTGACTTTTTGGAAGTAGATCACCAGATCTTTGCTTCATAGCACCTCTGGGTGTACTCAAACTGCCAACTTTTCAGTCTGTAGCTGAGTTCCTAAACATTTGTGCCACCCAGGGACTCCCATGGCACACCGTGCCAATGCTATTGAGTCTGTTTCCACTTACAGCAGCGGTAAGCATCAGTAATAGATAGTGACCACAGATGCATAAGGTACGATCTTATTTTTCTGGTGAGCAGATTGGAAGACTTAACTAGTATAAGGGTTCTTCTGGGCCTTATTTACTTCAATGACTTCAACAAGACATTTATATTTTTATTATTATTATTTAAATTATTTGTATACCACAGAGTTCATGTACGTAAAGTGTATAATTCAGTCAATTCAATGATCTGAAGGAAAGTCCCTGACTTAGAATGGAGCTCTGTTTTGATAACTCTGTAGTAATTCTATTCTGGCATAAGTCAAGTACTTCTTTTTTTGTTGTTCTTGTATTGCTTTTTTTTTTAGGTCTTTATAAGTTCCATTTCTTTCTTAACAATATCTTATTTTCTGACATTCATAGTTCTCACATTCGACGTCACTATCACTACAGTCTGCTTACAACTCTTCCTCCTCCTTTGTGTTTCCATACTGAGGACTCAGCCTCAGTTGCCATATGTGGTAGTCTAAGTCTGCTCTTTTGTACACACACCTGCCATTTCAGAAGTGGATGGCCAATCCTTCTTCCTACTCTGTCTTACTTTGAATGCTCAGATTTAGAACTTTACCTGAAAGACAGGCATTTTATTGAAAAGAGTAGATGCAATTCAAAGACAAATTACATTGGGAAAGTCCTCTGTCAGAGACTTCTCCGAAGTACTGAAAAGCAATGATGTCAGTCTGGAGACTAAGGTGTGCCTGATCCAGGTCAAAGTCTTTGCAATTAATTGCTATGCATCAGAAAGCTGGACATGATTAGAGATGATAGAAGGAGAATTGATGCCTTTGAGCTGTGGTGCTCAAAGAGAGTATTGAATATACCATGGACTGCTAGGAGAACAAACAGGTTCATCCCAGAGAGGATGAGACCAGGCTTCTCCTTGGAGGTAAGGATTCTGAAGCTTCATCTGACATATTTTGGACATGTTGCAAGGAGGGACCAGTCCTTGGAGAGGAATGTCATTCTTAGGAGGGTGGAGGGACAGAGAAAGAGAGAAAGACCCTCGATGAGACGGACTGAGTTAGTCACTGAGGTAATGGGGGTAGGTGTGTTAGAGACAATAAGACTGGCATAGGATAGAACAGGGTTTAGGGCTGTTATCCATAGATTCGCTATGAGTTGCAGGCAACTCGATGGCACATAACAGCAACAACAACAATTATTATAAATCCAATCTTCATTTTTGGTTGAAAATGGGAAATATTACAGAAAGTTACATGCTGCTACATTGTATATGGTACACATTACTAATGAGAAAATATAAAAAAAAATTGCAGGTTGTTGTGAGTGTAATTTGTCATAATGACTATGTTGTAAATTGGGAACTGCCTATGTATTATCTAATTTAGAACATTTAACTGTTCATAATCTCTGGTAGAAACTTCATGTCTATTAGCAGTCATTCTTTAGAGAGCTCAGTGGTAAGGAGTGCTACGACCAATTTAAAGGTACGCTGTTTGAATCTACCAGCTACTTAGTGGGAGAAAGACAGGCAATCAACTCCTGTGTGATTTACTGCCTTTGAAAACCCACTGGAGGGGCAGCTATGAGTCGGTTTTGACTCTTTGGTACATAACAACAGTTGGTTCCACGCACCTCCCCAGCCTCAGGCAATCGCTGATCTACTTTCTATCTGTATAGACTCACCCATTTTGAACATTTCCTATAAAAGGAATCACAATATGTTGGTGGCTGGCTTCTAGCACTCAGCATGGTTTTTGAGGACTGTCCGTGTCATAGCATGAGTCAGTACTTCATTCCGTCTTCGCTGCCAGGTATAATCCACTGGATTGCTGTACTATCCTCCTATGCAGCAATCTAGAAGCATCCACATCGCCAGGCCTTTATGGCTTACCTTATCTGGGAGGAGCCTGTCCAGGACATGTAGAGCAAGATGAAGAAGAGAAGCACCACAAAGACAGCCAGGCTCACCCAAAAAGCAATGACGATCAGATCTGCAGGGTGAAGAGACGGTAACTCAGTGTAGGTTTAATACCCATATAAATCAGTATTGAGGGAAAGGAGGAAGTCCCAAGTGTTGCAAGGGTCTCTCTGTAGAGCAGACGGCTTACATGCAGCTAGCTGCTAACCTACAGATTGGTGGTTTAAACTTGTCCAAGGGCACCAGGGCCTGAAGACCTGGAATCCTGCTACAAAATTACCTGTCTGCCTAGGAGCTGCCTATGGAATGTATGGAAATCCAAAATCTCTGTAAATGCTCATCAAAATTAATTAAAAAAAATTTAAAAGGGGGAAAAATATGTTTTTCATGAACAAAAACTTTGGGAAAGGCCAAAGAAGCAGGGGGGTTAGTGCCCTATAGCAGCTAGCTGCAGGACCAGTTTGGGATGTGCCTCTGTTTAGGACAGAACAGTAAAGGAAATTGTGAGGTCTTGTGCTTCTGCTTTCTTAGCTGCTTCTGTTGCCCAGAGGTCCGATCTTCCCTCTTTTGCCTAGGAGGGAAGACACCGTAATGCACGTGACTGGGCAGTGGGAACCTCCTTGAAACAGGACAGACTCTCTCTTGTGAGGGCGCAGATCCCACTGAGGCCTTCACAGACTGGCTTCAGAAGAGGAAGGTGGCACACTAGATGAGACCACAGAGTCAGAGTCTCGCCACTGCTCCAGAGGAAGCCAGGAGTCAGTGAGGGGAAAGGCCAGCCTCTGTGTGACGAGGGAGGACTAAGTTGAGGGCAGGGCTGTAGCCAGCACGATGGCTTTCTGTGTGACCCAGGGCTGAGGGGTAAAGGACACAAGGAAACACACTCAGCCTCTCAGGGTCCTTGAGGAGAAACTGGCAGGTCAGCAGGTCCTCCTCTGGGCCCCATGTCAGGAGCACTGACCAGGTTGTTGAGGGGTGCCACTCTGTACTTACTGTACTTCTTGGTGCATGTTATCAGGTAGAAACCAAAGAGATTCCACTTTGCTGACCTTCTGACCCGACCTGAATATGCATGTGTGTTCCAGGAAATAGCAAATAAACTGAATAATATTTATCCCTGTTGTTGTTGTTGTTGTGAACCTTAGAGTTGGAACTGACCCTCCGGCAGGTTTTCAGAGGCATTAATCCCACAGGAGGAGATTGCCCCGCTTTCTCCTGCAAAGTAGCTGGTGGCCTCAAACTGTGTGCTTTTGGGACTGCAGCACAGCTTCTTGCCACGAGGCTACCACAACTCCCTAAAGTTTACCCCTAGACATGGTTTTATGACTGACCATAGGAGATAAAACTGGGAGTGCAGCCAAAAACAAACAAACTAACAAAACCCCACAAATAAATAAATACAGAAAGAAAATAAATGGAGTGCTCGCTTCAGCAGCACATATACTAAAATTGGACTGATACAGAGAAGATTAGCATGGCCCCTCACAAGGATAGCATGCAAATTCATGAAGCATTCCATATTTTTAAAAAAGAAAGAAAAGGAAAATGGCCCCAGACTCTTCAAACTGCTGTGATCACTGCCTTACTCTGCTGCTTGTTTGGCTGTGATGCCATTTGAGCTTCAGCCCATTTGCCTCAAAGCTCACCTTTAAAACAAAGCATATTTGCTATACACTCAGCTGGTGTTGCTGCTGGACTTCCTAGTGAGGTAGAACCTTTCACATGGCTATGAATGTAATCCCAGGGGGGTATCAATGATTGAGCTTGATAACTGGAAGGTTGGAGTTCAAGTTCACCCACCAGCACCTTGGAAGAAAGGCCTGGAAATCTACTTCTGAAACATCAGCCACTGAAAACTCACGAAGGACAGTTCTGCTCTGGCATACATGGGGTGGTTGGGAGTCAAAATGGACTTGAAAATTTGTTCTATGATTTTAGAACAAATATAGATGATATATACAAGAACATTATAGGTCACATATAGATGATATATACAAGCATCAGCTTGTAGTTAGAGGCTGCAGAGATATTATCCCAGACAAAATGCATGACCCCAGGCATGATGCCCTGAACTGGCATGTTCTAGACAACTATGAGCTTGACCATGGAAGCTTTCTATAGGATCTCGAGCTGGCAAATGCTTATTAAGTGATTCCCATGAGCCAAGCTCCACGAGGACTCCACAGACATCTAGCTACCATGCTAAACAACTTATCCCAAGACGTGATTCTGTGATTGCAGAATGACAGCAGGAGTTCGGAACCAGTTGTCTTGGAGCTGACTCTAACTTGTAGTGACCTTGTGTGTCAAACTCTGCTCCACAGGATTTTTAGTGGTGGATCCTTTGGGAGTAGATCCCCAGGATTTTCTTGTGAAAACACCTTGGAGTGGATTAAAACTGCCAACCTTTGGGTTAGCAGCTGAGTGCATTAACAGTTTATACCATCTCAGGAATTCAGAGGAGCTGGGTTTTATGTGAAGGAAGATGGAAGACAGAAGTGGTCCAGTGTCATCTGGTCAAGGATTTCCTTCTTTACTTCTGATCCCAAACTCTGCATAAAATGAGCTTGGTGGGCAGACGCCAGCTCTTCTCGCATGTGCTGAGCCTATCCTGAATTCTCTGCTGCATCGTGATATACAGCCAGCGATCCTGTTTCTAATCTCTTCCCTAAAAAGACGTGTCCCAGCAGCCAATATTTTCTTTGTTTTCCGCACTCCTTCTGAGTTCTCACTTCAGGCAACGACTGGATCTTAGATGTTTCAGTACCTCCGCTGGGAACCAGAGGTCCTAGGAAGGGCTCCGAAAGTGTCTGACGAATGGAGCAAGAAATGAATGCGCATCTGAACAAGGTGAACAAATGAGTTGGAGGTGAGAGGTTTGTGAGTCATTTATATAGAGGTGGAGGTTGATACCAGGGAGTAAATGATGGTGTTTAACCAAAGGGTACTGTTGGGGTAGGAGTTGGGGGGGGGAGTGCGGGGAACCAAGAACTTGGACTCTGAGCCCAGCTCCCAGGTTTTCTTGAATTTGTGCAGGTGTTCTGAGAAACATTTAAGGGTATGTCTGAGCTCCTGGAAACGTGAAACGAGGTTGTCACGGTCTGCTCTAAGCTTCAGACAAGTTGTTGACAAGTAGATTCCAACCTGGAGCTGCTCCATGAGTGTCAGGTAGAACTGTGCTTAACAGGCTTTCCAGGGACTGACTTTTCAGAAGATGACCACGCCTTTCCCCTGAGGGGCCCCTGGGTGGACTCCAGCTTCCAACCTTTCTGTTAGTAGCCAAGTTTGTTAGCCATTTCAACACCTAGGGGCCCCTGTCCTGAGTTTAAAGATTAAAAATTATAAAACTAATAATAAATCTGATTTTCTTGGCATTACTTGCCTGCACGCTGTGCATTATATCTACAACAGCTACTCCAGTTCAACCCTGCCCCCAAAAGTCACAGTTTGTTTCCAAGAAAGCAATGGTGGTTCTGTGGTAGATTTCTCACCTTCCCTGTGGTAGACCCAGGTCCATTTCTGGGCACAGCCACCACCCTCTGTCAGTGAAAGCTTGCATGTTGTGATGTTGCCAAATAGGTTCTGGTGGAACTTCCAGCGAAAAACAGATTGTAGAGAAAGACCTCTCTACTTCAGAAAATCAGCCCTTGACATGGATGACAATTGTCTGATTCTGCTGTGCCTGGGGTCGTCTTGAATTAGGGTTCAACGTAGTGACTGGCATCAACAAAAAAGTGTAGACGTGTGTGTGCTTTCAGGAAATTGGGGTTGGAACTTGGAAAGTTTAGAATTGAACTTCTTCCTGGCTTACTTTTTAAAAATTCTCTAAGGACATTTTTCATTTCTTCAAGTAGTAACAATCACTTTGCTTTATAAAAAAAAACCAACCAAAAAACAACAACATGAGATTTGCAGTAACTTCCGATACGTTCTGCCAGGGCATCTAAGGAAATGGCTTTAACATGTTGAACATGTAGGGAGATCTTTCTCTTAGTCTTCACTGCCCTGGGGCCATGCTTGCTAGCCTCAGCCTCTGTCTTTATATCCGGAAACTACCCAAGAAACGATGTGACACCCTGTGCAGAATACAGGCAACTTGAAAGAAGTGAAATTTGAATTGTGTCAGACCAAAAAGGCAGCCAATAACTGCTAACCATTTCCTGTTGCAAATTCTATTACCATAGTCTGTTGATAAAAACAACCAAGCCAGCAGGATTCTTTCGTCCTTTACTGATTGGAGATTCAGTCTAGGTGCCTGGCGAGGATGTTTTGTCCTAAGAGAGAGGACGGCCATTCGTTCTCCAGTAGTGGACATGTTTACACCACGGTGGGCATCTTTTCACAACAAGGAACACCAACCAGGCTGAGTTGTCGAGGAAAATGTGGTGCAGCCGTGGGACACTCAACTCTTCCTTCCCCTCCCCTTCTCCTCACTTCTCTCCTCCCTTACCCTCCACATCCCTTATCCCTTTTTTCTCCCCTCTTTCTCCACATCCTCTCTTTCCGTCATGTGGGGAGTCTACACGATGGAATAAGGAGAAATAGACCACCACTGGATACTGACAAGCATTCTGGAAGAACCCCTCCTATGGAAGAATATCTAAGTGGTTCACAGGCGGATAATCCAAAGTGATTCCACTCAAAGCAGGTACTTTAGAAATGTTAAGGGAAATGTACACTTATGCTTATTGTTGTGTTGTTCACAATAGCCAAGAGATGGAAAGAACCCAAGTGTCCATCAACAAACAAATGGATAGAGAAGCTGTGGTATATTCACACAATGAAATTATGCTGCATTGAAAAAAAGGAACTCATGCAATATTATTCAAAATGAGTGAGCCTGGAGGACATTATGCTGAGTGAAATATCTCAGTCACAAAAGGACTAATACCGCATAGCATCACTGTTGTAAAACAGGACTGACTTGGGGGGTGGGGGAAACTAAGAAAAGAGGGGATAAATAATGTATGCTGCAAATGAGGGAAAGAAATGTTTAAAAATAATATATAAAAAAATAATAT